AAAATATCTGGAAAACCTTGTTTTTAAAGCAACCACTCCACAGGCTCATCCCACCCTGCTCCTTCCCCTTTCCTGCTTTTAGGATTTTATTTCTCCCCTCTCAAGGCAATCTGGGCCCAAAATCTGGCTGTAAGAGCTGTAAAAAATGTGATTTTATTAATCTGCCTCCAAACTGCTCCCTTGGAATTCTTCCTGCAGGATTCACATCCAACAGGTTGGGGAGCAAAGGAAACCCAGCTCAGGATTCTCCAGCATCAATGGATCAATGGGAAGGCACTTAAAGCAAGCTGGCTCATAAAAAAGAAACCCAAAAAAAAAAAAAATCCATTTTTAAAGCTGGGAGGGTGAATGGTAATGCAGGTTTTTCTAAGAGCAGGTCAAGTCAAGGTTACTTGGAGTGCTGAGTTAATGGGCTCATAAATATCATCATTAGGTGCCATTCCCTAGCTTGGAAACACACAGGAATTATCCTCCTGATGAAATTGAATTTTGTTTATTTGTGCCCAGCCCTGGCCATGACTAAAACTACTCAGAATGCTCAGAAAATGAAATATTTGAAATATTCAGCTGTGAGAGGCTTCAAGAGAATTGACTGCGAGTCTCTCTGCCCTATTACCAATAATTAAAATCCGGTTTTTTCATAGGCAGAAGAGGGAAAAAGGGGTTTGAGCTCTCTTTTCCTGCTGAATCACATCAGCATGGTTAAAGATGAGACAGAACCACCAGGTTTTTTTCCCCCTACGGGCAAAAATTATTGAGAACTGACTCATCTGAATTTAATTACCGGGCCAGCTCGGAGAGATGAAATTCCAAACAAGACTTCTTTGCAATTCCAAGTGTGGGACTGCAAAGTTTCCTTCAGGAATGAGAAATGAGATGGCCTGGAATGGGCTGGGGCTGGCTCGTGTGGATGGGAAATTTGGGGATGGGAAATTCAGGGGTGGGAAACTGAGGAATGGGAAATTCTGGGATGGGAAATTCAGGGATGGGAAATTAATTTGGGGATGTGAAATTTAGGGATGGGAAATTTGGGGATGTGAAATTTGAGGATGGGAAATTTGGGGATGGGAAATTCATGGATGGGAAATTCATGGATGGGAAATTCATGGATGGGAAATTCATGGTTGGGAAATTAATGGACGAGAAATTCAGGGATGGGGAAATTCAGGGATGGGAAATTCGGGGATGGGAAATTCGGGGATGGGAAATTAATTTGGGGATGGGAAATTCAGGGATGTGGAAATTCGGGGATGGGAAATTTGGGGATGTGGAAATTCGGGGATGTGGAAATTCGTGGATGGGAAATTCGGGGATGGGGAAATCTGGGGATAGAAATTCGGGGATGGGAAATTAATTTGGGGATGTGAAATTTGGGGATGGAAATTCAGGGATGGGAAATTCAGGGATGTGGAAATTCGGGGATGGGAAATTCAAGGATGGGAAATTCAGGGGTGGGAAACTGAGGAATGGGAAATTTAGGGATGGGAAATTAATTTGGGGATGTGAAATTTAGGGATGGGAAATTCGGGGATGGGGAAATTCAGGGATGGGAAACTGAGGGATGAGAAATTCAGGGATGGGGAAATTCGGGGATGGGGAAATTTGGGGTTGGAAATTCGGGAACGGGAAATTCGGAGATGTGGAAATTGAGGGATGTGGAAATTCAAGGATGGGAAATTCAGGGATGTGAAATTTGGGGATGGGAGTTTCGGGGATGGGAGTTTTGGGGATGGGAAATTCAAGGATGGGAAATTCAGGGATCTGAAATTCGCGGATGGGAAATTCGTGGATGGGAAATTCAGGGATGCAGCACAAAAGCAGGAACAGTTTCTGCCAGAAGGGAATTCCTGCTGCTGGGGCCAGGGGATCCCAAAAAGGGCTGAGCTCAGCCAGGGAAAGGTGTGGGAGGAGAGGCAGCCCCAGGGATGCAGCAATGGACACTGGAGGGGAGCAGGGATGCAAATCCATCATTTCTCCCTCCAACGAGCCCCAAAGT